ACCGCAACCTCCACCTCCTGGGTTCAGGCAATTCTCCTGCCTCAGCCTCCTGAGTAGCTGGGATTACAGGCACGCGCCACCATGTCCAGCTAATTTTTTGTAGCTTTAGTAGAGACGGGGTTTCACCATGTTGACCAGGATGGCCTCGATCTCTTGACCTCGTGATCCACCCGCCTCGGCCTCCCAAAGTGCTGGGATTACAGGCATGAGCCACCGCACCTGGCCATATGGGTCCCTATTCTAATTTTGCCAGTTCATCTAATAATCTAAACTTTTTGAGCATTTTCCCCATCTAGTACAGAATCCAGTCCAGAGTTAGTTATTATACTTAGTTGTTATGTCTTGTTAGCCTCTTCATCTGCATCCTACATTTATGAGGAGTATAAGGAAATCAGTTTACCTTGGTGGAATATTCTTTTGGACAGCCCATGTTGACATCAATACCAGCCACATCATTTTCTCTGGAAAAAGATGAAGGAGTAAAGGTAATAAATATTGAATTAGAGGAAAGAAGGTGGAATTAAAGGCATAGATGTGGAATTAAAGGGAAAGGGTCTGTGCTCATGAACCTCTAACCCTGTCCCTGGCCCTATGAAACACACCAACCCCCCAAGGCTGGGCGCGGTGGCTCACGCCTGTAATCCCAGCACTTTGGGAGGCTGAGGCAGCAGATCACAAGGTCAGCAGTTTGAGACCAGCGTGACTAACATGGTGAAACCCCATCTCTACTACAAAATACAAAATATTAGTCGGGCATGGTAGTACATGCCTGTAATCCCAGCTACTCGGGAAGCTGAGGCAGGAGAATCACTTGAATCTGGGAGGCGGAGGTAGCAGTGAGCCAAGATCACACCATTGTACTCCAGCCAGGACAACAGATCGAGACTCCATCTCAAAAAAAAAAAAAGAAACATACCAAGCCCCAATGACAGAAGCTGAAAAATGGGAAAGAAACCCGTCCCTAAAATGTGCAACTGTCTCATCTGAGCAGAGAACCAGAGAAAAGATATAATGTATGCATACATCTATAAAAGGCAGTAAAAGCCATTTGTCAATGCAGAAAAGTGACATGAGCCTAAGAGCCCTTTCCCAGACTACAGCTTCTAGTGGAAGTTATAGCACTGCCTTTGTTGGCTGGGCTGCACAGACGGTTTAATCCAAACAATTCTCAGATATAAAAAGAATCCTCACTCCATCCTCTGGTATGCATTTTGTTGGTGCAAAAGTAATTGGGGTTTTTGCCATTACTTTCAATGGCAAAAATATTAATACCTAATATTAACTGAAATATTAATACCTAGTTAATAGTCTGTGATCAGCAGCAATAACTGCCTGAGTTCCCTCTTACTCTCTTTGTAATTGTAACAGTAGTAAACACTTACTAAGATCTCACTTATGTGCCACATGCTACAAAGACATTTAGATGCATTATTTCACTTACCTTTCCCTATGCCAAAGGTTGGTAGCACTATTTTATAGAAAATTCTCAGTGAGATTAAGTAACTTACCTCAGGTCACACAATTAACAAGTAGCAAAACCAAAATTCCAAACCTGGTCTGTCTTAATTTCAAAACCTATCACATTAACTATAGCACTCTCCTGCCTTTGTTTTTGTTTTTGAAAGGTCTCACTCTGTTCCCCAGGCTGGAGTGCAGAGGCGCAATGAGGGCTCACTGCAGCCTCGACCTCCTGGGCCCAAGTGATCCTTCCACGTCAGCCTTCCAAGTAGCTGGGACCACTGGCATGCACCACCATTTTTGTAGAGATGAGGTCTGCCTATGTTGCCCAGGCTTCCTGTCTTTGTTAATTCAGGAAGCAATATGTTTTACCTATACTTCTATACTTAAAGCTTCAGAACTCATAGTCATGGGAATCCCTGGAAAGGGAGTTTCAAATAAATACAAAAAAACAGCTCCCCGTAGTATGCACAGAAGGTCTCTGGGATCTAGGCACTGTGGGTACACGTGAGTCCCAGGCCGGCCCTTGGATGCCACAAACAGAGGGAAACCAGACACTCTTAACCTGAAAATAGAAGGTAATGGGCTAGAAGGCAGAAGGGTGGGTCACCTCCAAAGTCACCAAGACATTAAAGCCTCACAGTTCAAAGGAGAGACAAAGGCAGTGTTAAAGATGGAGGAGAGGCTGGGCCTAGTGGCTCATGCCTGTAATCCCACCACTTTGGGAGGCCGAGGCGGGCGGATCACAAGGTCAGGAGTTCAAGACCAGACTGGCAAATGTGGTGAAACCCCATCTCTACTAAAAAATATAAAAATTAGCTGGGCATGGTGGCTCATGCCTGTAATCCCAGCTATTTGGGAGGCTGAGGTAGGAGAATTGCTTGAACTGGGACCCTGGAGGTTGCAGTGAGCTGAAATTGTGCCACTGCACTCCAGCCTGGGCTACAGAGCAAAACTCTAC